GGGGTCAGCATAAAACTGCGTAAACCAATATACATTACGGTACTTCTATGGAGATATTGCCGGGACCAAATCGATTCGTTGTAAAATGCAGGTTTCGTTACATTGAAGTTAATTAACCATGATTGAACAGCAATGCAAACGTAATAATAGACAGGAAATCGAAAATTTCAAACATTCCTGCACCTACACTCTTTATACTGATCTTGTTACACTACCAAAATTACCTACAATGAGATTTCACAACTGCACAGCCCAATATAGGTATATATCATTTCTGAATTCATGACTCTTTCACCTTCTGTAACAAGTCATACTGCACCAAGAGTTCGCTTGTATTGTGCGACGAAAGAACTACAAAATTTGATGCACAGGTGGATATTGATCTTTTGTGTCTTAAATACACCAAGCTTGAAGCAACCAATGAAGCAACCAGTTCTTGAAGCAACTAATGCGAGAGGTTTGCACAAGTCAATAAACAACCCTGCAAATACAGCCACCTGTTGATGAGGATGCGCTCGAGACAGGTGTTGATGAGGTTGGCCACCAGGGGGCAGTTGTCTCGGCGCACTGTCTCAATGCCCTTGCAGTCCATCTTGTCGTAAGTCTCTGGTCGTGTGTACAGCAGGCCTGCATAGCGCTTCTTGTTGATCAGCAGGTAAGGGTAGTACACCTGGTCGGGCAGGGACAAAAGAGAGGTAGTGAAGTTAAACCTGGACATAACAAAATTGCAAATTCCCCCCAAAATTCATTACAGGCACATTTTCGTAATATGCAGTTTCTGCACTAGAATTCTGAAAAGAAACACACAAACTAAGCAAAAGCAGAACTGAACACAGAGCCCACCGAAAACATTTATGGTGGTGAAAAACTGTGTTATTTTACTGTATCGCTTGTTCGTGAAGAATCGCAATACTAAACGTTCGTAGGAATATCTTTATAATGCTGCTACGTTATCATCTAACCGTGGCCTTCAAGAGGGGCTCCGATAACATGCCATCGTGTTACCTTAGCCCATCTGAAAGGCGACAGCCCAGGAAACCAGTGGTACAACACGGCAAAGCGCATGACAAGTCAACTGCTGAAGGTCCGTCGTTGTCATCGTGGTCTCCGACAGTTTCCACCAGCGCCGTACATGACACGCCTCGGTAGTTTTCACCAGTGCCTTTGTAGTAACTACCAACAGCTGTCTGGATAAAAAATGTTGCAGAGCTGCACATCATCAGGGGTGGCTCAATGTGCACGAAGTGGAACCACGCGCGTGTTGAAGGGCATCGAAAAGGAAGAGCAAACTTCACGGATATCACGGAATAGTCAGAAAGGCCCCCTTTATGTGAGGTGGAAACTCAAAGGCTCGAAGCGAAACAACACAAAGCAAGAATTGTTTTTAGTAGCGTCATCTGGTGTCACGCAGTTTTTTGTTGTAGTTGTCAAAGACAGTTACGGCGATCAGCGTGGTGACACCCACTGCAGATTAGCTTGTCTAGTAACTTTGGTGGCACCTGTGAGCCGATGGCCAAGCTTTGAAGGAAAGGGGAAAATGGCACACCAGCGCTTGTGATAAAAAGAACACCAGCTTGTGGGTGCAGGACTGTCCGCCTCTCTCTCGCACATCCGCATGCACAAACAACCACATGATCTCACCTCGCAGTCGTTGGGACTACAACTGCGCCATGAGTGACACTGCCACTTTGTGCTCAGTCGTCGGGGCGACATCAGAAAATGTATGCGACTCTTGATTGTGCCAAGACCAACAAGTTCGGGGCAAAATCTCTCAGCTAACAGTAGCACAAAATTTGTTATATCAAGGGTGTCTCCCGCTGCCATTTTGTTACACAAAGGTCACAAAATACATGTGCTTCTATGGAGCAAGGGTAGGGAATAGAAAAGAAGCTTCGAAATATCCACAAACTTGTTTTATGGAAGTTGGTTATGGGCAGGTTTGACTTTACATGCTTTCATCACTTTATAAACAAATACACCTGATGGTCTACAAAAGAAACAATGCCAAAGATGCATTGGGACCGAGAGAACTATGAATGAGGGGCACTATTGCGATGATCTCCCAGGAATCATCTCAAATCACGATTTATGTGTGCTGTAACAGTAAACAATGTTGCCAGAAAAGACTCAACTAAGAATTCCTTCATAAAATACTGTGCAAATGTGTTGCTGTATCTGCCTACCTGCCTTGAGAACAAAAGCACGGTAGTCCTTGACCCGCCAGGTGTGCTTGGTCTTTGGCAGTTGCCTAATTACAAAAAATACTCCCAAAAATCTGTGATGTCATGATGCCATATATGTGCAAAAACTTTGAGATGCAATTTTTCTTTTTAATTTAAACATAAAGCTTTGATTTTCGTTCTTTTTTTATAACAAAACATTTGGCAGAACAATCAAAGAGAGCAGTTTTCAAACTATAACTTAGTTGCCACTACTGATTTACTGTTTCCCTCCAGCGCTTTTCAAAGCTTGTACATGCCTTCGTCCCATCCATTGGCCTCATCCATTGGGCACTGCTCGGACTAAGCTAGCCTGGGTGCCTTGCACAACACAGCAAGCATGCCTCTTTGCTAACCCTTTTCGAATCACCAAGCAGAAAAGTGGTGCCTAATGCTTTCAAGCATGGTCCTACTACACCAAGTTGCACTTGCCGGAGGACCAAACCGATAAGAGATTTTCCCATAACCATCATGAGTAGATCAATGGTCAATGTGAGAGTGTGCAGCATTTCAACGGAAACATCTCACTTTGAAGCGTGTCAAATACATCTATCCTGACACGAAAGTGGTGCCCTTTCTGTGTTTCAACCTCGGCACAGGAGCTCTTTGTAGCCTGCACAGGCTCACTATCAGCTGTATGTAGGTTCAGGTGCTGCTGGAGGCAAGTTGGCGAAAATTTTCAATTTGTGTTAGTTCCAAACAGCTGGAAGGTCAATTTTTTTTAATTGTGTGAGCTACGCTGCTAAAGAAACTTTGGTACTATTACCATCTATCTTCGTCTGGATGGACATGAATTATGTTTTCAGAACTTTCTTGTCTTTTAAATTTTAGAGACATGCCGTACAAGTTGCTAGCAAAAATTATACGAACCATGTTAGAAGTGCCACCATCATGTACATTTAAATCTGCTTTATGCTTTATTTTGGCAAATACTTTTGCTGTCATTTGGATGGGTTTTCGGGCACCCTCAATGCATCTGTGACATCTTTTTACCAAAGGACCTCGGAGTGATTAGCTAACATTAAAACAGAAAAAAATGAAGTTGTAAGTGAGCTAGTGAACAATGCCTTGTGTTTATTAACACCCAGTGCCTGATGCCTTTGACAAAAAGTGCGTGCATGCCACAGTGCTAGATTATGCGAGGCAATAGCCAACACGGCTCCTATACTTGCCAAACCCAAACACGCGCTGGTTTACACGACTTTCAAGTACGACAACTGCATCTTTACCGGCAGGCGACTCACCTTTTCAAACTCAAGGTTGATGGGGCGCACAAACTTTGCGGTGACATAAGTCGCCGCTTCACGGCCGAGCTCCATGGCCTTTTCTAGAGCATCAGTGCCGAACCGGATCATAACCGAGTCAGTGTCGCCATAGATGACCTTGGCATCGTGCTCATACCCATTGGCCCGCGTGTACCGGGCTTCCACTTCCTGCTTTGTTTTCTCAATCATGGTGCGGCCAAATGCAGTGACACTCTGCAACCGAGGGAAGGCAGATGACAATAGTAAATACAGCCAGCCTTTCGTCAACATAGCTACTACAGGAACCCGCTTTCCCATTTTCTTTTCTTGCTTCCCTCTATTTTTGTAAAAAAGCAAACTCACTGGATTGATTTACTGACTAATTGGTTGTCTAACTGACTTTTGCACAAGCTGAACTGAGCAACGCAGTTTGTGTTGCACATGTGCAGAGCTTTCGATTGTAATCGAGCTGAAACCAGGATCAAATTCCTTGACTTAAACACCCTTCGGCATCCTGCACAAATGAGCTAAATTCAGGCAAAAATTTGATACTGATCAGCCTAGATTATGACTTAAACGGCCCCTCACCAGGTTTGACAATTTTGAACTGATGAGTGCTATTCATACATGAGGCGTTCACGATCATGTCTGCCAAAATTTGCAACCCTACATGCCGTGGAAAAGGGTGAAGCCTCAGGATGAACGCTGCTTGCCCTCCCTTTTGCGGATGCGCACCCTGAGAATGAGGGCATGACGTGGGCGTACGAATTGCCCTTCGTAGACGGTAGTGCTGTGACATCGGTCCTTTACGTATACAACCTTGTTCTGACGCCGCCAACAGTAGCACGTAACACGGCAAAAATTATTTCACACTGCATGTGTAGTTCGAGCAATTTTTTGCTGGAATAAATGAATGAAACTTTATATAGATAATAAAACACAAAAAGAGAATATGCGCATTTTTTTTCTTTTTTTTCCCCGCGAATAGTAACGAGATGCAGTTCTAATGTGCCTGCATTTCACATGCGTTCTCTCTGCGGTTAGCGCATCGAGCAGACGCCAACCCTGGAAACAAAAATAATGGTCCTGCGCATTTAAATACTCAATATAATCATCTATTACCGTATTTACTCATGTAATGAATGCACTCGTATAATGAACCCACCCCCTACCTTGGTCCTTGCAAAAAAAAAAAACTTTTTGTCATGTACCTGTTCAATTTACTTCAGCATGATAACCAGTGACGCTGGCGATAGAAACAATGTTAAATCAAGCCGTTATACCACAAAATAACAATGCAATAAATGTCAAAACATAGTTTTGCAACCATGCTAAACAGTTGCGAGCAGCGCGAGCGCGGATGACGTCAATCAAAATTTGAAAGTCGCGGCTTTTAAAGTCACTAAAAAAAAAAAAACCTGAAGTAGCGCCATTCATGTCAATGTGCAGGCTCCTCTCCCCTCGCATGCGTAGCAGACAGTAAATGACACTAGTTCAGAGGCTGTATAGATTCTGGCCGCAAAGATGGGCGTGCGCTCATCTTTCCATTAGATTGATTGATATGTGGGGTTTAACGTCCCAAAACCATTATATGATTATGAGAGACGCCGTAGTGGAGGGCTCCGGAAATTTAGACCACCTGGGGTTCTTTAACGTGCAACCAAATCTGAGCACACGGGCCTACAACATTTCCGCCTCCATCGGGAATGCAGCCGCCGCAGCCGGGATTCGAACCCGCGCCCTGCGGGTCAGCAGCCGAGTACCTTAGCCACTAGACCACCGTGGCGGGGCGTCTTTCCATTAGAGCTCATTTGGGCGCTGCGGTTCTAGGCGATGCACTGAAAGAGTTATTGTGAAAGTGAAAATATAGAAATTGGGGTACCCTTAAGTTTCGCCTTCAAGAGTTGAACGCAACCTAAATCTGGCCCCTAATTCGCCCTTTAACCGCTAAGCGCATACTTATTAATGTTTTGTTACACACACACACAAACGTGCGCACGTGTTATTTATAGTAATGGTACAGGTTTTCAATCTATTTAACAGCACTTTTATAACAACTTCATGAAAATATTGTACACTGATATAGTCACATGGTCCTGTAATATGAACTGCCCGTAGGTGTGACACTCGTATTAGTAAATTTAATAAATGGTCACATTCTGTAGTTCGTCATGCATGAGTTATCTGGCCATTGCTCGACTTGTTCTTCTGGAGACCCCTTCCAGCCAACCGCAACAAGCATCACCTTACGATCGGTGAAATGGCCACTGCAGTACTTCACTTCTTTAATGGTGGCATGAGAATGAAAAGGTAAATCTATGCAAATGTTGTGGTTTGCTGAAATGGCATTTTCTTGAAGGGGCATAAAGAGTTTCACAATGCCTCACAAATGGCAGCACATTATCTAGCGTTTGCTGTTTGCTTGATCAACGCCTCTGGAAAGGCATGATATGTTTTCCGAATTATACGCCCGTCTCCCTGACATGTATCGTATGCAAATTAATGGAGCATATAATTTACTCGGCTATCATGAGTCACCTCACCGAGAACAATATCCTAGATGGACATAGTTGTTCATTTTTAGAGCTGTTTGAAAGTTCCTGCGTGTTTTTAGCCGGCAATAGCTGCACTATCCCGGTCTTTCACGAAGTAGTTTGATGGCCTCCCAAATGCGCCTACAAATCATCTAATGGGCTCGTTTTTGTCGTGGCACCTGTCGAACAAAATGCGTTAAGGAGACTCCTTCCACTACATAGCATTTTGTAGTGTTTTTATCGAATCAGCTGCAAATAACATCGAGACTTTGTGGTAGGGCACCTGATCGCCACGTGAAAGGCCCAGGTTAAATCATGCATGAGACTGAAAATTTTATTCCTTATTTTATTTGCTTCTTTCTCAATTTTTCGCTCACAACCAACGGTGCCGACGCCGACAGCAGAATTTCTGCGACACGAGCTCTTTAACGCTATCGCGTTAACAAAGCAAGCGTTAAATACGTCGATGTGACGTGTATAAAAGCAAGTGGCATGCAGTGGCAAAAAACATCACCGCAAACACGCCATACTCAACGCGATAGCTCACCATTTGCGTGCAGACGCGCTCAGTGGCGACGTTCTCGATGGCAGCGCCACTGCTGTCCGTGTAAACGGTGCGGTGCTAAGAATCTGAAGCATGACGCACTAGCTTTTGTGAAGGTATTGCAAACACCATATTGTTTGTTCACTTTTGCGAGCGCGCGCTCCACGAGTAGACACCACCGACGTATCCTTTCAGCATACCCGAGGCATAGAGTAACACAGTTTACTAGTAACATAGTTTACATAGTAACATGTGCCCGAGCTGCCCAAGGATCTAGCACATCCAGTGCGCCCACATGCTTTCGCGTTCGTAGTTTCCTGGCGGACATTCTAGAAGCGCTTCTAAATTGTCTACCAGAAAACACAGCTGTGGTTGCTGGGAGAGGAGGTAGAGGCAAAGGGGTGCGGTTCCCGCTACTTTAGTTTTTTTTTTTTTTTTTTTTTTTCAGGGACTTCAGCGCCTTTTACGGCAAAGCGCCATCTGTCGAATGCAGGAGAAAACTCTTTGCTGATAGCACCATGCAAGCACGACAGCACAAAAAAACAAAGCGCGTAGCCTACAAAATGGGGCGTGCACGGTGTGGAAACACCCCGTGCGCCCTCTATCTCGGAGGCCATGCAAAGCGCAACCACACCCACCGCGCCGACGGCGCATCTGGCAACCGCAACATCGACCGCAACGTTTATGCGCCACCATCCGACGCTGCGTTTTTGCTGTCGGGTTTGTCGTTGTGAACTTAGTTAGGACACCTGCTGCGCAGGGCGTGTTCGATCGATATGGTAGCTACACGGCTGGTTAGAAACAGCACGCGCTGGAGCATTAGAACCGAGCGGCTGGACAACACTTCGGCATCGATTCGTATGCTATAGCATGAGGAAACAAAAAAAGCTTCGGGCTACAAAACAGAGGTGTCGCATACTTCACGAGTCAAAAAAAAAAAAGCAAGGCCGTCACGCGAAATATTCGCTGTTATAACTACCGTGACTTTCTTCTCCCATGTAATGAACCCTCTTCTCGAAACTGGCGTCAACTTTTCTAAAAAAAAAAAAAAAAGGTGGGTTCCTTACGCGAGTAAATACAATATATCTCTACTAACCAGCGTTTCTGAATGAGCACGCACCAAGGCATCCATCCCACAGAAACAGGCAGTACATCACAAAATAACGCTAGTCAAAAGGACAACGTTGCTCGCATTCTCAGGGCTAGCTCAGGAATGCCAAGCGCACGTGACCGTTTCCTCGGATGCCGGAGAGACTAGGGAAGAGATTTAGCTTGCGGAGGCTACGCGAGGCAAGCGGCAAAGGTTTCGAGCTTGCCTCATCTCATCAGCGTTACGCACAACTTCAAAATACTGGTTTTCTCAGTTCGTAATGAACCGATCGAAAAAAGTCTGGTGGCAAAATGCTCATCTTTACACACAACTGCCAGCGTCTAGCTGTTGTGGTGTGTGATAAGTGACCCTTTAAGCGTGCACCACACGAAATCCGTAGCGGCAAGGCTGGTTTGTTGAAGCCAATGAACGTAGGATACCTCCAAAATTTGAAGACCTTCCAGACTCACCTTAGATATGGCAAGGCAGGGCAATTTGCCAACCTGTGCACCTGTGAAGCCATAGACAGAGTTGGCACTGATCTTCAGAGCAAGCTGACGACCGTCAAGCACCTTTTTGCGAAATGGATCTGTCTCGTTCTTCAGATCAGTCTTGGCTCTGGACAGTGAAAAGAAAGAGTACCACGCTCAGCCGACCATTTGTTCTTTCAGTGCTGTCACTAATGCTTTCCAGTTTTTCTAGGAAATCACTTCAATCAATCTATTAAACCTATAATAGTGCTATTGGTCTGAGACAAGATGCACATGCAGTGTCAGAAACCCCATACATTTAACCCTGCTAAGCCTGCTGTCTTGTCATTCTCACCATCATGCTTAGAGAACAGCTAGCCTCATTATCGGTTCACCTTTGATTTCACAGAACTGCAACTTTTGAATGAGATACAGTCGAACTCTGCTACAACAAACGTCGCTTCAACGAAATTTCCGCTACAACGAAAAATTCACGATTTCCCGTCAGCAGTTCATCGGAGTCAATGTATAAATATTGTCGCCACAACGAACAGATTTTCTTCGATCGTCCCGCTTCAATGAAATTTTACGATGCAATTTCAGGCTCATATATTTATTGCTATGCAGTAAAACGAATCTTTAACATTTCGATGCATTATCAGAGCCTTAAAATGCGTCAACGAAGTCTAAAACACACGTTGGCACCACCAGAAACCGCCGCTATACCGCATCACTTCAGCAAGCATGGACGCCGCCATTGCTCGATAGCGATGGCAATGAGACTGCCCTGGCCCCGCTTTTGCCACTAGCTTGCTTTTGAGCCGCAGACGATCTGAAGCGGAAGCTCAGTCGCTCAGTGGTTGATGGTTTCCTTCACGCAGCTGCTGGGTGCAACCACAGAACGATGCCTTTTCCGATTTCGATGCTTATCATTATGTTCGCGCTTGGCCAGTGTGGTAACTAATCAGAGCGGCTGTTCGTCCGCATTATCAACAAAATCAGCTAGCCGCAAGTGACGGATGACAAGAATGGCATAGAATAATGCAAATGTCGCCGCTCCACAATACCCTGCCTACATGTCGGCATTGTCGGATACTTTTGACGGCGGAATGCTGCTGGTGTTAATGCGTTGATGCAACTCTTTGGCTCGTTCCCGAAGGTGGTTTTAGGCATTGTTTCAGCGTGCTTTTCCCCATGACCTCGCTATGCATGAGCGAGAATGAATTCGTGACGCTGCTGGGAAAGAATAGGAAGCAGCGAACATTTTTTAAATTTTGAGAATAAACGTTCCTTTGTTTTGCTAGCTCAGATCAGCTACATTTTTTCGATTTAACTACAACAAAATTTTTTCCCACCCCGTCAGTTTTGTTGTAATGAGGTTCGACTGTATACTGTTTAGACTTGAAGATGTACAATGAACCATTAAAGAGACTGAGGTAAGTAATGTTGTCTGACTGCATTTATAGCATAAAGAATATGTGTTTATACATGTTTAACGCACATCGAGTGCAAGACTGCTTCCTTAGTTCAAGTGGGGCTTTGTTATACAATACCCCTTTTTAAGACCATAAAACAGGTAGCAGTTCTTGCACCCGGTATGAGGTATCTTTTGTAAGAAGAGCACCATATTATTTCCTTATGGGCCCTTCTTTCAATGTAGGCACACTGGTCGTTCTGATACCTGTCTGTTACATGAACGTCTGTTATAGAGGGGTTCAACTGTAGCTACTTCTAGATTAAAAGCAAGTGTGACACAGCCATCCTGCATCATACTAAAGAGGCCACCTTGCCTCTTGCGGGCGCTTAGCAGGTCCTCAAGAATTTCGGGCAGCAGCCCCTTGCGCACGGAGGCCTTGACAAAGTGGTCGCCCGACGGAGTGCGGATGAACTGGTCTGGCTTGAGCATCTCTTTCTGTCGATTGTCCAGTACGGTTGTGTAGCACAGGTTGTGTGCCATCATGATGGACGGGTACAGGGAGGAGAAGTCAAGCGTCGCAATGGGCACACTGTAGAAGCCCTTGACCGGCTCAATCACTGTGGCGCCCTCAAAGTCCTCACCAGCCTCTGAATGCACCACTGGCATCACAAGGTCCTGCTCAGCAGCCTGGGGGGTGAGATTTAAACAAATGAATGACCATCACATTAATGCACGTAAACATTAACGACCAAATTGCGATTATAATGATAATTTGCAGAGTTTGATGGCACATGGCATGTAGGAATGAGTTTTCAAGGAGTAAATCAATCAGATGTACCATATGAATTGATGTACCTGAATAAAGGTATTAAGGTTTTTAAATTAGGTTCATCATGAACCCAAAATAATAAATAACCAATCATAGCAAACTACCGTAAATTGTACGAGTTTGTTACCAGTACGAGCATGTAACAAATTACATTTACAGTCAAAACTCGTTAGTGCGCACCCGCTTTAAGCGTACAAATGATTAAAACGTAGTTGCGACAAATCCCCGACCAAGTCTCACAGAGACTAATGCATTACCAGACCGCTTAAAGCCATAGTGTCCGGCCTGCGCCTACTGGTTAGCGCATACTAACTGCGTACCGCGATAACATTTTGCGTGACAAAATTTTACTGCTCCACTACACTTGCAGACCCCACAATGTGCCGTGAACGGTTTTCCGTCATGTTGATAAGTGCGGAGATCAGCCGATAATCAAGTTATTACGAGTTCCATGCGATTGCGGCGATGACGCTGCAAGTAACCATCGGGGAAAGAAACGAAGACAAGGTGGCGTACACCGAGAAACGCACCGGTATGACTTGTCGCTGGCGAAAAGCCTTATTACAGTAAGCATCCGTGGTTATTTCCTTAGGCACGCAGGTGGCGTAGCGTCACCTAAGGCCTATTGCACGCTTTTAGTGGGCGGCTACCTGAACGTGCTGGGCCGCCGATTGCTGGCGCTTCGTTTTGCGGGATCGTGTTCAAGCATGCACCGCTTTACAGAAATGCAAGCAGCTCACTGTCACAGAGTTCCACGTTGTGAATCGCGGGTACCAAGAAACCTTGCTGTATTATGCCAACACGCACACCGTGCAGCAAGTGTAGCGCCGTTATTACCATGCTGCACACTTTTATTAAGTGACAGCCAAAATGCACCTCCGTCCGCTGCCAGGGCTGCTAGAGCATCACGGTGAACGCATTGCTTGCAAAAAGCTTTTCGGCGATGCATTAACCCAGCAGGCTACTTGCCAAATCTGTGCAGCAAGCGGATCGGCAGCCACGGTGTGCGCAGAGTGAGCGAAGCACTGCACGCAACTAGCCATGCAGTAAACTATTTGGCTCTCTGCGACTGTACCACATTTTAAAAAAGAAAACTGCGTCAGTTTTTACTTAGAAGCAGCCCTGGAACAACTGTATCATGGACAGCTGATTGTGTCCGTTCTGTCCACGCAAGAAGGAAACTTGTTTCCTTCCTCCGTGGTTCTGTCGCTGTACCACGCTGCAAATGTCGGATCCCTCGGTGGTTTCGAAAAGCTCATCGGCGTCGCCATCGCGTACTATCGGGTGATTCTTCGAGAGTCAGAAACTTTCCTGTACCTTGGCAAAAAGAAAGAAATGGCTTTGCGGTGGGCACTTTAGGCAATATTTCCCGCGGCACTGCGTTTCTTCTTTTGTTGACGGCACCGGTGCATGTCAGGAGATGCAAATTTGTAGCTGGTGGTTAATGCGTAGTATGTTTAGTACATAGTTATGCCGCCATCCCTGGCAGGTACGTAATAACGGGGTTTCACTGTACAACACATGGGATATAATGAGGGTAATATTAAGGTGAATGTAGTTTTCTTGTAACAAAACCTTTTCGTATGGATTTAACCATGTCTAATGTGCGCCCAGCTATAATGTACACAAATTCCTACACGTTTCCCACGATCAGAAAACGAAGAAAAAGAACGACCTTCAGACACCAGTTCAACAAAGCACACTACTCATGTGACCTAAAGAAAACAAAACCACATGCTCACAATAACCATCATTCCCTAGCTCTCATAATGGAAGAAATCATTCTAAGAAGCATATCTTTGCCACACAGGTGAGCTCTCATTTCTACGTTTTAAGTGAATTTTTTTAGATGAAATTTTAGGCAACTTCTTTAGTTTGTGCAAGATGTTTGCGGTACTTCTGATGGCCAGATTCAGATCACACTTTTTCCACATATTCCTTGACATAAAAAGAGTGCAACACTCTCCTTTAAAGCGTGATATTGTTCATAGTATATAATTATCAATATAAAGTAAGCAATTAGTATGAGCTGAGCTTTTTAATTAAACTTCACTTTGGCCTCGTTGGTACATATTACTGAACAAAAATTAACAGCATAAGCACACATGACGTTCGTGTGTGTTGTCTTTTCCATGTGGGGCCTTGCGTGTTTGCACTGTTATATTAGTTCAGGGGCATTTTAAAATTCCGCACATCAAAATTTTTCTTGTTCATTTAAATGTTATATACACACTTTTTTGATAGTTATTTGCATTCCACAATTACCTAATGTGAAGTAATATGAGCCATTGGTTGCTCATGATTATGAAAGTTGGGTGGCAGAAAAAGTCTGTCCGAAAAGAGCGATGTTTTATTACATTTTCATGGTACAAAATTAAAACTATACAACTTGCTATAAAACTGATCACATATTTGAAATGAGCATAACAACTTATGTAAACTGCAAATAATTCATTGCGCTAGGCTAGAGATAAAAGAAACTCTTTTCTAAATTTTTTTTTACTAGCATCTCCCTTAATTAAAATTTGTCATGGAGCTTGACAAGGGGCTCCTAAAAAATTGAGCGATGAAGACGACAAAACCCGTTTGTTGTTGCCATCCAACTATCCCTGTAGTACTTGTCTATCGATGTAACAGTGCAAGACGTAAAGTACAGGCAACCACCCACCAGCCTAATTCATTGCTTTTTCAAACGTTCATGCACAGGAGCTTTCGGAGAGACTGCTGACCTTTCTGAGCAGTTGAGAGACGACCTTGATCTGTTGTCCTCGCGACAGCAGGTACGTCATGGGCACACCCGTGACACGTGCCATCTCCATGTAGTTGATGACGCTCATGAGCTTGTCCAGCAGGCGCAACGGCAACATGGCGTCCTTGAGGCAGTAGACGGCCAGGCGACGGCGCGTCTGGTCAGTGCCATTCTGCGTAGAAAAAAAATGCAATTACAAACAAGTGCTGGCAACGGGAAGGTCGATGCACGCAACCTCAATTATGGACAGGCGGAGGAAACTGGGACACCCGACACAAAAGAGCGCTGGCCAGTTTCCATCGCACATGATAGAACACTGACTTGCAACGTTGACACGCAAGAGAGCAGTCCACCACATAAAGGAAAGACGACCTGCGCAAGTGATTCAGCAGTGCAAGTGCTATTTGTGTGAATGTGTAGCATAGCATGTAGAGATCAGGAACGCCCGCAACGCCAATGCCATTATCAGGTGTGCTGCAGGAAAGCCTGCCTCTCCTTAACAGAGCACAAGTTCTCTGGAAAGGCTGAGCTTGATACACCCATTTTACAAAAGAGGTTCGTTCAAAATTTTCAGAAGTAATAATTTTTCGAATGGCTATAAAAATCGTCTGTTATAGGCAATTTTAGTAAAAATCCGTTTCCATATAATACAGTAAGCGTCAAATTGTCCAAACCCCTTAGGGACAGCAATATCATGCGGAAAAATTAATTCAGGCTTTTTTCCTTCTTTCAAGTAGTCTAATCACCGCAGACACACTGTAACTTGCTGCAAATTTACAGAATAATAACGATACAGAATAATAACGATAAAGTCCCCTATACCTTGATTGGCTGCATTGCAGGTTTTCATTACAACATTCAAAATGCACCAGATAGGTTGCACCAAGAAAACGTCGGCACATACACAGGTGACCAGAAAAGTTGCAAAGAGCAATTTTGGAAAGCTCTTGTTATAGCATTTCCAACGCTTGCCATAGGTAACTCCCAAGAATGCCTTAAAACTTCAAAGAGGAATTTCGTGCCCACTTTACAGCCCCAGTCCACTTTTTTTTACTGTGTTCTTCTGCGTAGTTAAAAAGGGACAAACACCAGCTGCACTACTATGAATGCCTGGCATGGGACAAGATATGCTGGGCATCGTAGAATCACATGTATGTGGGTAAATGGGTGCCAAGAAATGAATTTCAACCAACTGAAGGGGAAAGGTACAGCAGTTGCAAAACTAAACTCTGTGTAGTGCATGTGTGTTGAACATTGAAAGCGATCAAGTGCAATTTATTATTTCACCAATATCACCACGTTTGTATTCCATCATAATGATGCATGAGGCGATGTAGTCTCCTAACTCAATGGGCACTACACTTCCGAACAGGTGCAGTTTCTATGCAAACTGTTCCAAATTTTTTTCCCTTAATTTCAATGTGTTTGTGCAGTAGATGCAATTAGGTGAAGTACACGTGTTGAATCACATGGACTTTTCTTACAGGGGTGGGACAGGGTACAAAAGTTTGAGAGGAGTCCTTGGGGTAGGCAAAAGTGCCTCTTGTAGCAGGCTTGGAGCATCCAGAAAGACATGCTGGAGCAGTCAGAGAGAACGTTCAGAGCAGGCGTCGCCCCATTTCACGGCACACGTGCTGCACTTTTCAAACACTAAGCAAAGTTATGTAACAGCCTTGTTATTGCGACAGCAATTATGTGAGCACTCTAAACGGGTGTTTGGCATTGGCGTCACTGTCATGTCTCATACGAAGTCCAAATTGATAGCGTCTCCGCCGCACAGCCTATGTCCTACCCATGAGTGAAAGTACACGTCAAAGGAGTCGGCTCATCTCCATTGCTTTAAGGGCGCATGTGATAACACCACCTCGCTCGGGAGGCCTGCTATGGAAGCAGAGAGGAAACAGCCAGTCCGTCTTGAACGAGCAAGAAAAGACTTGAGGTGGGGGGGGAAGGCTTTTGCTCGAGCAGCAACTGCGTACTTTGCTCGTGAGGGCGTGGTCGAGGTCACTGCACGCAATAGCGCGACAGCCATCAGCAGGTGGATTGTATGCTGTTCCACATACTGCGCTCTCATTACAAAGAGACTGTGCGAAAAGCACAGCTCTCCTTAGGACGGCCATATCATCTTACACCATAATTTTGCAGAGTTACATGAAATCAGATCCAAAGGAGTTAACTGACAGACTCACTTCATATAGCACTGAAATTTGTTCAGAAAGGGAAAGGAATGGAGAACTTGTTCGGGACAGGCACTTGCTCAGCATTTTACAGCTTTATGCCATGAAAACAACTACCCAGGGGAAACCCGCCCTGCCACGAAGCCCCACTTTAAGGCTCAATGAACGTATTACCCTCACAACGATTCTTCGGTTTTTAAGTTTGAAGGCTTGTTATGCCAGCTTATATGCTCTTGGTAAATTTGAAAATGTAACACACTTTACAGGTGACTCGTCGTGACTATTCTACCAAAAGCCAAACACTGCTACTATCCGATCGGGCTCTTCAATTTTCCACATCTGGAAAATTTCCACTTCAATTTTCCACTTCGGGCTGCCAGAGCCACCTAGAGCGCGCACGTTTTTCTCGGATTGCTCCGACCCACCCCCCCCCCCCCCGTGGCGCACTTCCTGTTGGCGTTCATTTTTCTTGGGTTTGGACGACTTTGGTGACCCACAGAGAGCCCAAGAGTCGCGAGACGCTTCCAGGACAATCTAGTCGTGGAAGCTCTCTGGAAGATTTTGGGCAGGCTTTGGGCTAGCAGACGCCGAAAACATACGATATGCGCTCGCTGCCACCTTTGTGAGGAGTTCATGAACTGCAGTGCGCGCAGCTGTGGACAGCGCCTTCGCTTGTCATTACGTGTGGCGTTATCTTCTAAGGTTTGTTTCGCCGTGCAAAATGGGGCAATTAAAAGAGCTGGCAAGCATTTGAAGCTACTGTTTATCACTTAAGTTATCTTTACTGAAGCTTCCTTCCGTGAACAACACGGAGAACTGTATCTTGCTAACTGGGTCGTGCACACCTCAAAAGCTATGTAGACCTTCGTACGCGCGCATAGAGAAAAGTTGAGTTTGTTTAGGGGCGAAGCTCCTAGTGGCGTGGCTTGTGCGTCCCCCGTTGTAGACCCGCATACCAGTGGCACATACCCACTCTCAAGCACACATCCACATGTTCACATGTTACGAAAAACGTAGCACAGCGTCGTTATCACACTCTCGGTGTTAACAAAGCGCTGACAGCAGAAATGTACATACTCTCGTTTAGTCCTTGGATTGTCAACTGGATGGCGGTACTTGAAGTGTTCACTAGATGGACGGACGGACAGCCAGACAGACACATGGGCAGATGGATGCACACACGGACAGATGCACGAATGGGCACACATATGGATGGACTGACGCATGGACAGATGCACGAACAGAAGCATGAACTGATGCACGTAGGGACAGACAGAAGCAGGGACGGTTTTTTTTTTTTCGTAGTGGTCGTTTGTGGTGCTATGCCTGCTTTCTGTTAACTCAGCGAAGACGATTAGGGTCGAGCTAGCTCGCTTCTTCGTATGTTTGCGTGCAGGAACCTCTTGGAACTTGACCACTCGGTCTTTGATGGTGATAGAATGCCCTGATTAAAGACCACGACAGTTGTTTTGAAGTGTGTGATGCTCGCTGGTCGCGCACGGCGTGCGAGTGTACTTCGATCTATTGTCCAGCATATGTCGTACGGTATCATGTTACACTACGACGCATAGATGCGAGAAAAGAGAAAAAAAAAAAACGAAGTTGGATTCAGAAATGTATACATCATTCGTTACCTCAGTCATCGTCGGCTTAGTTTTTTTCAACCTCTAAGTAGTAATGCTGCGCAGTATATGTACTTACGTTTACTACTTAGTAGCTTAAATCAAAGCTGAGATACATGAGACTTTGGCGGTACCACTTAGGACTAGAAAAGAGGCACAGGCAAGTGACAAAACAAGTCAAAAACGCGTCATGCAGAAGTTTCTTTTATATATGATGCACACTCGTGGTACTGACACCGCTCCATGTCTAAAGTTGAGACACAAATGCAAGTTGGTCAACGCATGTTTGTGATGTATACTATGCGATAGCTCAGCAGGTATATATTCTCGAGCTCTTTTTAGGGCACGATCACTTTTGCGACATTTCCCACCGTGTTGTGCAGTGATTGTTATATATACTAAGAAGACGTGATCTCGTTAAGTCGTCAGTAGCACAGCACCTTGCATCGTTTGCGAGGCGCCGTGAGCCAGCTGGATGTTTCGTTTGCGAACGGAGCGAGTTGCGAGTGATTTTACGAGCATACCAAACCGTACCCTGAATGCGTACGATTGAGAAAATTATTTCAGCTCTTCGGCAAACTTAGCTACATATTTCAAGCAGACAATGCAGAAATAAACCAACAAGCATGCGACACATTGTTTCGTTTGCTGCCACGACAGCAGCATTTGTTTACACCAATGCTGGCTATCCTAAAGTTCAATTTTGCAATCTACGGGCAACTTCGGGTTGTCTCTGGTTCCCCACACACGTGACCATGACGCTATTTCCTGTTCCGACCGAAAGTAGCTGCCCGACCCTCTGGCTAGCTCTGATGGCCAGACAGCTGCCAGAGGTCGGAAAATTGAAGATCCCTAATGTTGCTGCTTCGACTTTCTTTGAACCAAAAAGCACACGCCTTGTTTCAATTTCAAAAAAAGTTTCATGCAGGTTATTCAGGTTATGACACATATGCTTGTTTTTCTTTAAAATATGTAATACTGCACATACTGATCAAATTTGATTAGAAATTATTCAAACCAAATAACTATTCACTTTGAATTGGCTGTGAACCTAAAATTTTCTATTCGAACAAATCTAAGCAACAAATGTTGCATGAGATACATAGTTTAGCAGCTTACGCTAGATGAACAATGAAAGAGTCAATGAGATGCAGACAAGCAATGACCCGAACTATTAAGCGTGCAAGCGCACTCACCTGAAGGTCAGTGATAATGCTATGCTGGACGTCCTCTTTCTGCTCCTGCAGGAAGTGGTAACTGACCGCGTTCAGCGTGTACGACCTCAATTTGTAATCACGCAGTAACACCTGGACGGAAGAAAGGAAAGATGTGCTTAATCACGATGGCACATCACCAAGACAGCACATAAAACATATAATAGTTAGGGGCAGTTAACCAGGGAAACTAGAGGGTGCGGTCACAATATCCCTGCAACTGAATGCTTCATTGTTTTACAAATGCAAGTTAAATCTTGGAAATGTCTCATGAAAGAAAAAATAAGTGCCTGCTGGATTTAATGCAGTGCCACGGGAATCCTCTGGCCACAGTCATGGTCAGTCCATATTGCTTGATTCTTGAGTACTTTTTAGTCATGTTCAAGTAAGCATTACTAAGTACAAATATGTCAAAACTCGGGAAGTGTTTTTCTTGACAAGTACCCTTGTCTTGGCAACTTGCATTTTTCAAGGCAAATTAGAGAAGTAAGCTCCAGTGCTTGTAAGAATCAAATTTTCAAACTTGTGGCATAATCATTTTTAGAAAAATTTCTGAAATGTTCCATTTCAACATAAGTGAGCATCAAGTTTACAATTCATATATTATACAGTATACTCTCGATAATTCAAACTCTGATAATTCATACTTTGGGTTAATTCAGACAAAATTCAATTTTTTGGATGGCCATCTATTCTTTTGTATTTAATGTATTTAAAAGTCTCTCAAGAAGGGATGCGTCCTTTTAAAACGGAAAAATCGCGAGAAAGTAGATTTTAAGGAAATCGCATATTCGGGCAGTACGTGTCATAAACTACCTTTTCTGTAAATATCAAGGTCTAACTTATTGCGAAACTGTTCGAAATAAAGTTTACAACAAGCCGCCGCAGCCCTCGAGCGACATGGGAGCGCTCAAAATAACCCAGCTTGGTGCGATCGCAGTTTTACGACCGCTTGACGGACCTCCTCCATTTTAGTGTTGTTTTGTTTTCCTGCCACCTGCGGCGACAGCGGCAGCGCAGGAGAGGAGCAAGCTGCTCATGATTGGAGGGCTCGCGAGAGCTTTGAGGTTTCTCGTGGCAGAGATGTGCCACCGGGATAGGGCGATGCGCGCGCTCCTCAAGGACGAGAAGGACCCTGCGACTGCGATTGGGTGCTGCGCGCGATGACGTAGTACTCTTGCACATAATGCGGCTTTCTGTTGTCTGCTGCTCCTCCGTCCCCAGCACTTTCTTATTGTTCCGCTTGCTATTTTCTATCAATGCAGCCATTCGCATACTCTCCGCGTTTCAATAGCTTTTACGAAACAATTTTCAAACGTCTTCACGAGACGATTTTCAACTGTCTTCACAAGACTGTTCTTGCATTTGCTCATGATGTGTCCAATGAAAAGGAAGACGCAACAAGTGTTCAGTGCAAGGAAGCGATCTATGAAGGCTCTCCTCATGGCGAAGCTCTCCGCTCACACGTGCGCCGACGGTGATCGCGTCGACAGTGCATGTGGAGCAGCTTCTTCATTTACACAAGAGTGTGGTTGCAATGACGCGCCTAGACACAGGACCCTTACTTCACCGGTGCAAAAATTTGACGTTGCAAATGCGCCTGGTGTCTCGTGCTCATCGACAGGGGTTTCCACATCCTCTCTTTCATCGGCCTCCGAGAGTGTGATCGCGTCATCAACTGTGCACTTGCGAAGATGTTTTCTGATGTGCAAAGAGAAAGAGGCGGCGGATCAACAACACGCTGCTGTTCAAAGAGAACTCGGTGCTGTGCCAGCGACGGAGTGGGAATTTCAGGCAATGGAGCGCGATCAATGAAGCGCAATCAATGGAGCACGATCAATGGAGCACGACCTGGCCATTCAACGGGCAGCCGAGAAAGATTCACTGCGCTTGAAAAAGGCTAAGAAGAGAAACTTAGAGAAGATGAAAAGACGGTGAAGAAAGAGAGTGCCAAAGGACACTTCCAGTTACGCTGCAGGGTTGTTTTAGATTTGCATATGTGCCCAAAACTTTCATTTCAAATGTCATTTTCTCCAAATGACTTTTTTGGCTAGTAAGGCTGCTTCTTTCAGCCATGTCTGGAGAACCACTCATCGTGTTTCCATAAGTCTTTTTTTATTATGAACGTGAATAAATTTCTCAGGGGGAGACAACCCCTTTTTTTCGAATATATTGTGTCTGTTATTTATGATACCTAATAAAAACTTGATTTATACTATCCCAATCACCAACACTAAATTTGATAATTTGCTAAAACTTTTCAGTAAGGAAACTAAAAAAAGATAGCTCTGCAAACCCCTGAGGTATCAATCAGAGAATCATTGTTAATTTCCCAGTTCCAGCATCTTTTGAAAGTTCTCCGGGCTTGGAATAAGAGAAGCATGTGCACTATTCTGAGATACCGCCGCAACTGGAGAACTGGTGAACATAACTTCATGAAATGTTGCAGTAGTTCTAATGCTTTTGCTGTTAGTCTATCCTGAAAATTTCATTGAGATATCTCAATAAACAAAAAATTTGATATCTGATGGTAGCCTCCTCCCTTAATTCAAACTCAATCATTCGGTTAATTCATACTTTCCGCGGTTCCATACCAGTAAGTATCTAATGCTTCCCGACGACTATTTAAAAATTTGTGTGCTTATATAATCCTAACATTCTAAAAATGAAAAATAAGTGCCTCAGGCCTAAGGAAGAAGGCTTCGCTAGTATACAAATGTTATAAATGAAGCACATGCATGGTAAACCGTGATGCTTCTCAACTAGTATAGTGAGCTTTGTGCTGAAGGCACTTCTAGGAATGAAGCAGTTGGCAATTCACGATTTCTTTAAAAGGTCTGATCGGTAATAAATGACCAATAGACTCGTGGACCTTACACCTCTGCTTTCTGTTCATTGGGTGCAGTTAGGGTATAAAAACGCTTTAAAAAATTTAAATGCGATAAAATTTGCGTCACCTTGCCTAGAGTCCCATGTCTGAGAACTTATGATAATTCAAACTTTGATGATTCAAACAAAATTCTGAGGTTCCTTCGAGTTTGAATTAACAAGAGTCAACTGTATAACAGTAATAAGACATAGCATCCCAATAACGTAAACTACAGCTGATGACAGTACATGCAAAGCAGTCATTTTAAAATGTGTTACACAACACTCTGGAATTCACATAATAATTTCCCTGTACATTATGATTTCTCCAGGAGTGGAAGTGGACTTCAGTGTTTCGGAACAGCTCAGGGAGCAGGAATAAAGCTGTTTTAAAGCAGCTTTGACGCAGTAAAAGGGGAGTTTTGGAGCAGGTTCAGAGCATTAAAAGGTGTGTATTGGAGCAGCGTTAGTTTTGGAGCAGTTCTAGGGTCAAACGTCATCGTTAATCAAAATTATTTCTGGTGAAAAAATTCAAATGCTTTTCACTAAACTTTCAGTACTCATGAGCTTACCATCTACAATTGAGACTTACTCCCCACAAATTGTATGTGTGTTTGTGTTTGTGCATGCGTGTCTGCGTGCATGTGTGTGTGTAATACAAAACATGCCCATTTCCATACTCAGCCTGAAACGTAAAGAAAAAAAAAAACATCAGGCCTGCGCTGTAGGTGCAGCACAGTTACAGGGAAAACTAGAAGAGCGGCCTTTTAGAGCCTTTTTAAAACACTCATTGGGTAGCCACTGCAACCACACTAGTTTGGTACCCACTAGGGCATTAATAATAAACTTTTGAGTACTAGGCCGGCATTTGCTATGCTATATTTTGTCATTCTTCTGTGAAGCGTGGTATCCGCTTAACACTTGCAAGAAGTTTTGTGCGAAAATTGTCCATTCAGTGGTTGATGACGATGAGGAGTTATGGCTAAAGTGGGTATGCGCCACAGTTAATAGGGGAACAAGAACAAGCTTTTGTGATGGTTTGGAGCATTGGACGACCCACTCGTTACGCTATTCACATTGTGCGACGACTGGTTGTTCTTTCGCTGTAGTAAAATTCTTTACAAGTCGTATTACCGCGATGCTTTCCAGACATCAAGCCGGCCTAAGGAAAGTTTGACAAGTCTCAAGCACCGGCGTAACTCAGTGGTAGAATATTAGGCTGGCACGCAGCGGACCCGGGTTCAAGCCCCACTGTGTCATTGGTGCAAAGTTTTTTTTCTAATTTCACGCGATGTGGTTATGGACACCGGCAGTGGCGGACAACTGCGTGTGACCCCAAAAAATATCTCATAACAGCTTTCACTGTAAAATATATTCTGGGTTGTAAAAACATGGAACTACAGTAAAATCATGTTAATCCAGACTTCACGGGACTGGAGAGAATGTCCGAATTATCCGAGAGTACGAATTATCGCACGTACAAACAGAACACTTGAAACGTGTCTCCTACACCATCAATCTTCTATTTCTTAAAAAAGTCAGTGATCGAAGTTTGCTTCACGGAGGCAGTGTGGCGAAGAAGGCACAGTTTTGTGAAGTTCCTACAGGAGGCTCAGTCTGCGCACACTGTCCGAGGAAACCATGCATATGTCCTCGAAAACGGCCAACGCATGAGCAGCCTTTGTCATCGTGTGGCGTGGATACTCGTCCCAGGTGAAGACCCAGGTGATGCACACCTGGGTCTTCATCAGCCGATTCCCCTTCGCCATCCAATACTTCGGCGACGATATCACAGTTGGTAACTGTGATGGCCACGGCGACATCGTGGTCAATAGCAACTTAATCGCCAAAGGGCACTACAGCTGGCATTATGCTTACATAGCGGCCGTCTTGCTCTTCTCCGCTTTCCTCATCGGCCACTACACTCAGGTCAGCAGGACGTGCACGAAGCCGCTATGCCTAAAGCAGCTGGCAACTACTTCAGCGCAATCTGCATGCGGATTGCGCATAATTAGCTTACTTCGTACTGCTTGCCTGTCACCATGCAAAGCAACATCCACTCGAGTACCTGCCGTCGATAGCAGCTTTTCACACACTGTATGACTCCCTGATCTAACGACTGTAGGGAAGAGGTTGTTTTTTGAGGCAGGAATAGCAGTTCAATGTTCTCGAGACCAGACACCTTCCGAGCCTTGGCCGCAAAGAAACGATTGTGCTGACGCAGC